TACACAATCTTTACAAACTTCCCAATCTCTGTGACCTGGGCTAATCATTAAAGACAAAGAATATGAGCTTTTTTTCTAATCCTTCCTAAATGATTTAAGTTTCCTAATATAACATATACGTAATAACTATTTACCTTCGTACAACATAGCAATTCATTGTTTACAAAACAGTCTCCTTTCAATTTGATAAATTATTGAGCTTCTGCTATACAGTAAGCATTGTGGTATGGATATAAACACGAATAAGAAATATTTCCTTATCTTGAGGGACTTAGTCATCTTTTTGTGGTGCTCTTTGGCATATTACATTTGATTCTCAAAGCAGCCTGGGGAAATGTTATTATCACTGTATTAGATTGAATAACCAAAGAATAAAACTCAGAGATTTTTAAGATTATTAAGATTATTCTCTTGCCTGAGATTACTCCATTGCTAAGTGGCAGAGCTAGGCATTGGATCTAGATACTTCATTACAGATCTTTTGTCCTTAGAGGATGTTATTCTGTCTATTTTTTAAAAATGGAATGATTAGAATGCTCTAATCTCCTCATTGTCTTTAGATCACTCCTAGTTTATTGTGAATGCAATTTAAAAAATTTAGTATTCAAGAAGTGCTAGATCACCATTTTTTGTGGCTGAGTAGAACTCCATGGCCATATACCACATTGTATTAATCCACTCATGTATTGATGGGCCCATTCTATTAAGTATCACAAGAATGGAAAAACAAGCACCACATATACTTACCATCAAATTTGTATTTACTGATTAACACTTAAGTGCACATATAATAGTAATATTCATCAGGTGTTGGGCAGATGGGGGGGAGGAGGGAATGGGTATACTCACACCTAATGCGTACAGTGCACACTGTCTGGGGGATGGACACGCTTGAAGCTCTGACTCAGGTGGGGCAAAGGCAATATATGTAACCTAAACATTTGTACCCCTGTAATATGCTGAAAGAAAAAGAAAACAATAATAAGTGTTAATTATATCTCAAAAAAATCTAGTATTACAGGAATAAAGAGTTGGAAGAAAAAAAAATGTTCTTGTTCTATCAGTATTAGGGTGTACTACCTATGCTACCTCAAAGAACTTGCTTAAATTACTTTTATTCTGCAATACGATTCTATAAACCCTGGACCCATAATGTGATAATTCACACATATATATTTGGATATATATATTACATTTAACGTGTATATATTTGTCTTTTTCCTAACTTAAATCTTTCTTGTTCCAATTTAATTTTTCTTTCTCTAGCTCAGTTGATATTCTTGGCTTGATGAAAAAAGAAAATAATTCTAAGGTGACAGAATTTGTTCTTCTGGGCCTATCATCCTCCTGGGAGCTGCAGCTCTTTTTCTTCTTAATATTTTTGTTGTTTTACATTGCCGTTGTCCTGGGAAACCTCTCAATTGTGATAACAGTGCAAGCTGATGCCAGTCTGCTCCAGTCTCCTATGTACTATTTTTTGGGCCATCTCTCCTTTATTGACCTATGCTTGAGTTGTGTGACTGTGCCTAAGATGTTACGGGATTTCCTACAGCAGGGCAAGACCATCTCTTTTTCGGGATGCCTAGCCCAGATCTACTTCCTCCACTTTCTAGGAGCCAGTGAGATGTTTCTGCTGACAGTCATGGCCTATGACAGGTATGTCGCCATATGTAACCCTTTGCACTACCTGACAGTCATGAACCACCAGCTATGCCTTCAGTTGGTTTTTGCCTGCTGGTGTGGGGGTTTCATCCACTCTATTACACAGGTTATACTGGTCATCCAGCTGCCCTTCTGTGGCCCCAACGAACTGGACAACTTCTACTGTGACGTCCCACAGGTCATCAAGCTGGCCTGCATGGACACCTACGTGGTAGAAGTGCTGATGGTCGCCAACAGTGGCCTGCTGTCTCTTGTCTGCTTCTTGATCTTGATATTCTCTTATGCTATCATCCTGATCACCCTGAGAACTCGCCTCCACCAGGGCCAGAGCAAGGCCCTCTCTACCTGTGCCTCCCACCTGATGGTGGTCAGCCTGATCTTTGTGCCATGTGTATTCATCTACTTGAAGCCTTTCTGCAGCTTCTCTGTGGATAAGATATTCTCTGTGTTTTACACAGTGATCACACCTATGTTGAATCCTCTCATCTATACACTCAGGAATGCTGATATGAAGACAGCTATGAAGAAGCAGAGAAAAAAGCATGTGGCATTCTGTTGCTTTGTTAAAGAATGAGCAGGAAGAGGTGATTCAGAAAACATACTTTCTTGGGACACTCTTATCCTGTACAGGAGCACATGTGTGAAAACCATTTGATGACGTTGTTATAAAAGAGAAGACAGCAGAAAAATTATAATGCATCACTCTTGATTATAGTCAGGAGTCAAAGGTGGCTTTTTTGAGAGTTAAATATTAAGCAGGGTATTCAGGAGAATTTACTGGCCCACAAATGATAACAGGAATTAATTGAGTGCTAGGGTCAGAGGACACCTTGAAAGATCAACTCTTCTATCTTTATGACTATAAAGTCTTCATTTGTTAAATTTGTTTCACTTTTTAACTCTATTCAAATGAAAGGGAATATGATGTCTACTTTTGTGTCCTGCCCCTCCAGGGTTTAGTACGAGGAAGTTCCTTCTGATTTCTCATCAGAGCCTCTTCTGAAGCAGTGTGAATTCCTTTTGTTCTGTCACTAACAAAGCCTCAGAACAGCACCAACCACCCTATATGTTAGTGTTTTCCTAGGAACTGTGTTCCGTAGTGTGCCAAATTTTAGAAATGCAGTTGAACAACTCACTTGACAAAGTTTATGTGTGAGAGAAAGGAAGTCCGGGAGTACTAGGGTGATAGAAGCTGCTAGTATTCTGTTGTAGAGGCTTCTCAAGAGCAATCCCACTTCACCTCAAGTTTTTCTTTGATTGGAATTATAGTGGGGATGAGTTGATAAGCTAGCTATTAAGATGATCATAATGTTTAAGAGCTCTGAGCTCTAAAGAAAAACACAAAGAAATGAGCTATGGTTTAAAGCACTCATCCACCTGGTCCCTGGGTCTTGTGCTCATAGTTACTACCTCTCAGTCTCAAACGTGCTTTGAAGAGTAGGTAATATTATTTAACTTCATTTTTGCAAATGAACTCAGAGTTAAGTGACTTGCCCAAAATCACTTAGTAAAAGTGTAATCACTAATCAAGAAAGCTAGCAATTTTAGATAATTAAGTTAACATCTTTTTCTCCCCAGAGAGAATGTTTATCCTAATTATATGGACTAGTTACCTAATTTCTACAATACCTGTATAGCAGCTCCAGAGCTAGAAGATCCCCAAAAAGGTTCACTTAAACATTTATATTTAAGATTCTATATTTCTGATACAGGCTCCTTGCAACTTTTTATGGCTATGGAAAGGTCTTTATTCTATTTACTAAATAATAAGATAGTAATAAACTTTTTAGCACTATTTTTATAATTGGTCATTTTATTTCCTAATTAATTGCTGTGGAGAAGCTTTTCTGATTGTTTAGCTGAAAAATGTATCTCTGAGAAAAATATCTGAAACTACATCAATACTAGGATTTACTGGGTAATTTGCAATACCCCTGGGCATTTAAAAACTTTCTGTATATTGGAAGACAGAATGGATTTTTATTTTTGTGTCGGGAGTTAATGACTTTATGTTTAAGAAACCATACATATGTATGTATGTATGTATGTGTTGCTACAGGACTCCTCACAGACCAGGGACAAGGATGCCTCTCGGGAGGTTTCTAAATAGGGTGGGTGAAGGTGAGAATGGCATCTCTGGCACAGATCACACTTTCCTCTTTCCCCTTCACTCTACTCAATGTTTCCACAGATGTCCTTTGTCTGCAATGAATATCCTGAAGAACAGGAAACTGTCAGCCAGAGTCACCTGTGTGTTGACAGAAAGATTTAAGTGGTGCTGTGGGTCAGCCAGGCACCTGACATAGACATGGAGCTCCAGGCTTTCTTTTAGCATCAGCTGGCTGCAGCACCCCCTTTTTCTGATGTTCCTCTTTCACAGCAAATGTTAGAGTCTTGGCAAATCATTTTAAATGTCTAGTTGGTATCTGGCATTGGTAGCATTATATTCAGAAAGCTGGAATTTTTGTCTATTCCCTTTTGCATTTTCAATCCTCTGTACTCACTTAACCAATTACCCATATTAAAATTATTTTTATTAATAAACAGATAAAGTTTCTGTTTTTTCAGACTGCACATGATTGATACTATCTGGGTGCCTGGTGCTCCAGAGTTCTCTGTTCAGCACCATGACAGTGCCACTAATTTAAACATTTGGCTTGCCTACTTGAACTGCAGAAAAATTTTAAATGCAGTAAAATATTTGAATAGTTTTATAAGCAAATAAGCTATCTTACTGTTGGATTAGTGGTCCAATGTAATGATCCTAAGCACCATCTTTCCCCTCTCTTAATACAACTTTGAGAAAATTGTACAGAACAGTGGAAATGGCCTATTTATTGACTAGTTACTTGCCAAGTTGCCTTCAATATAGTTTTATAAGGAGTTATTTGGGATGACACCTGTGCTTTCTCTGCATAACAGACTCTCCAACTGCTACCCAATTACTTGCCCACCAATTCCCTCAGGGTTCTGACGATGCATAAAGGTTGCTGGGAGTTTCTTCTTCTTGGTGGCCAGGAGCACAGGAAGCTTTTGCAGACCAAGATCAGAAGGCATGGCATGGCTGTGAACTCATAAAATCCTATCTTTTTTGAGAGAGAAAGAGAGAAGAGAGGGAAGAAACTTGGGATCTCAGCCTTTTGGGCTGTAGGAGAGGAAGTGTGGCACATACATAAGAGAAGCATCATTATACAGATCTCAGTCTTACAGTGTGTATATCTGAGTATAGATCATATTCTTATCTCACAAAAAATTTTTGATCCAAGATTTCAGGTTGTTCAAATGCATGTTGTGGGACCACACTGAATAAGACAGCCAGGGTAAGTTTTTTATCCGGAATGACAAGTTACCCACCAGTGAAAGAGGCAAGGGCAATTTTGACTGATTCAAGTTATATTCAAGGATAAAGATGCATCTTTAAATTCTTTACATTCTTTACAACATTTGTTCTAGTAATTCTACTAAGTAATTTAGGAAATAATTACAGGTTAAAGTGTGTATCAATATTATTTCGATTATAATTTAGTCCTAGGTTTACCACTAACAATGAAACCTAGATAATTCAATTTCCTCCCTGTGCCTCACTGGCTTCCCCAATGGCTAAATGAGTGGGATAAAATCAAGTGATCTCTGAGATCCTCTATACCTATGTAACTACAGGGCTCAACATAAACTATGCTCTAGTCTAAGAGGATTTGGGGACTTCATTTAAAGGTATTATTCTAAAATGAATGGCTTTAGGTCAGGAATTATGCTTTATTCATCTTTTTATATTCACAGCACAGTACCAGACTCAGAGACTGTACTCAGTAAATACTTATTAAGTGAGAGGATGAATTAATATTGGCGCTGTATGAAATAGAGAAGATCCAGTAGATGATACCTTAAACAGTCTCCACATTGGGTTACATTAACTCATTTGCAGATTTTTTTTCAGTGCTCTACTTGCTTATCTTTCTGCTCCACAAACAATTAGTGAATTGCTCCTTCAATTGTGACCAATTAGAGGAATGGGGTAGAATTGATAGGTAGCAAAATGATGTATAGTGACATGAGACAAGAAAACATGTACATGTGTCATATGTCTCTATGAGGGATATTGAAGACAAGGACACTATTGCACAAAAAAGCTCTCTGTGGGATGGAGCTTGCTGTTAGGAAAGAGATCCAGTATGTTTGATCTCTGCCCTTTGCAAATCGCTCACAGGAAGAACCAAGATGAAATCTCTTTCTCAGAATATTTCAAGAGCTGCATTCTTTGCTAATTGACCTGTTTGAAATAACTTAGGTAAGCTCACGAAATTAAATAAAGCAGCCACATTTTTCTTTAACTACACAGATCCTATTATAACCAGGATATATTCTTTGGCATTATCCTAGAGAGATCAAATTTGAGTTAAGAACCTGGGCAAACCAATGGGAACAATCGGTCCCACAGACACTCTGGTCCACAGAGTTCAGATGTCTGATACTGATATTTATGAAATTCCACCACTAAAATGATCATGACTTAGATTTGGAAGATTGCTTATTCTTTTTACATTCATTGTGTAATTTGATCCTTACCATGGGTAGCATTATCTCACAGGGAAGGACTCTGAAGTTAATAGACCTTAGGAAAATTTTGTTCCTGTTACGCAGCCTGTAACAGGCAGAGCTGTGAGTCAAGCCCAGTTGTTTCTTTCTTTCTTTCTTTTTCTTTCTTTTTCTTTCTTTCTTTCTTTCTTTCTTCCTTCCTTCCTTCCTTCCTATCTATACACCTATCTGCCTATCCATCTAATCTTTCTACCTATCATTTATTTAAGGAGATGTGTGTGTATTGTGTGTGTTCTGAAATAAAAATACCATAATTCAAATACCAGCCTTTTCATTATTATATTGAGCAATTTATCTTACATCTTCAATCTTTGTTGTTCTACTCTGTAAAATGGAGGTAGTACAAATTAAGATATCGTTGTGAGGACAGAGTGAGGTAACATATGCAAAGAGGTTAGCACAGAATCCTGCACATAGTAAAGTGCTCAGCAAATCTCTCCTTAAAGAGAGATTCCACTTTATAGATTCAAATTAAAAGAAAAACACTTCATCAATACAAAAAATGTTACATAGATGATCTCATTTTAATTCTGAAACAGCTTTATGAGGTAAATAATTTTATCATGCATCTTTTATAAGGGAGAAAACTGAGATTCAGAGAAGATAAATAGATTGACCCAAAGTCACCCAGCTGATGAGGACACTCAAACTTACACCACTCAACTTCTGAGCAGTGCTCTTTCCACTATCCATGCAGAAAAGCAGTATTCTAAGTAAAAAGGGAGAATAGCTAGTAATTTTCAATATTTCAGAAAAGCCATTGTTATTATATTTCAAAGATTTTCTTTAGATCTTGCCTCATGATTCATATCTTTTAAGAATTTTTCCTTTATTTTTCTTATCCAATATTTTTCTCTGTATGCCTTAATCACTCCTTTATACGGTTTCTAAAATGATATCAGACACTTTTTAAACAACCATTTATAGTTTTGTCTGCATGGGAGGTTTTATTCTTTATTCTTACCTATGATTACAAGGACAGTGAATTATCTGGGTCTTTTTTCAAGGCAAAGGGATTGAGAATGTAAGGGAACTTGGTGGCTTTTGAACTTTTCAACCATTTAGAGCAACATAGAAAAAAGTATTTCTCTGTATATATTGTATAGATATGTATAGATCCTATATTCTTACTGGCAAAGCAAAGTAGAATTTTCACATGCAAGTCAAGCCTTGAGACTCAAATTTCCCCAGTGTTAATTTGTAAGCATTCATTGGTGGTGAACAAGAGGCTACTCTATATGTTCTTCTCGGTCACTAAAAATGACTTGATTTTTATTTGTATTGAAACTTTCAATCTAATTTAGAAATTGGAAACTGAGTCTTCCTCTTTTGATTAAATAGAATGTTACCTTTCTACAGATAATCTGTATATATTATAATAAAAAGATTCACCTGGAATTTTAGACATCAGATCTCAGGTTCTGACTTCACGTTTTTATCTATAGCTTCAAAAATTAATTAATTCATTTAGTAAACAATTTAAGTTTCTACCACAAAGCAAATTTCTTTCTTTTTCTTTTTCTTTTTTGGCACCTAAACTACACACAGGATGCAAAGCAAATTGCTGATGAGAGAGGTTGGGGAGAGGGGGAGAGAGAGAAAGACCACTGATTAGGAAAAAACATTAAATCTAATTAAAAAAAAATCTCGGATACGCTAGATTCTTTTTGGAAGAAAGGAACTATAAGGCTAATTTTAACAGAAATTGAAATGTGAGTCAATAATGTGGAAAAAATTAATGATGAGAAAAACATCATAAACTCTGTTCAAGAAATATGAGGAATTTCTTCTATGATATTTAACATCACTTATTTATTTTCATCCAACTGTTCCTGTTAGGCTTTCCATGCTCACAGTGGTTTATAACATGTGTTTATTTTTGCAGAGAACCAGAGCCCCTCCACCAGTCCTGCCTGGGGCCCCATGGAAGTGGCCAACAATGTCACCGAGTTTATATTTCTGGGACTTTCCCAGGATCCTGGAATGCAATTGATGTTCTTTGCCTTATTTCTCCTCTTCTACATCATGATTATGGTGGGAAATTTGCTCGTTTTGCTTACCGTCTTTTTTGATCCCCAGCTCCACACACCCATGTATTTCTTTCTCAGTAACCTGTCTTTTGTAGACATTGCCTATTCCTCAGCCACAGCACCCAAGATGATTGCAGACTTGGTGTCTGAGAAAAAGACTATTTCTTACTGGGGCTGTATAACTCAGATGTTTACCTTCCACTTTTTTGGTTGTGCTGAGATTTTTGTTTTGACTGTCATGGCTTTTGATCGTTATGCAGCTATCTGCCAACCCCTCCGTTACACTACCATCATGAGTGCCAATGCTTGTGCTGTGCTGGCATCACTGTCCTGGTTGGGGGCCCTGGGTCATTCCTTTGTTCAAACCCTCCTGACCTTTCAGCTGCCCTTCTGCAATGCTCAGGTCATAGACCACTACTTTTGTGATGTCCACCCAGTCCTAAAACTTGCCTGTGCTGATACAGCCCTGGTAAATATGCTAGTGGTTGCCAATAGTGGACTCATCTCTCTGGGGTGTTTCCTTATTATTCTGGCTTCCTACACAGTCATTCTGTTTAGTCTTCAAAAACGGTCTGCAGAAAGCCGGCGCAAAGCTCTCTCTACCTGTGGATCTCATCTGATGGTAGTAACTTTCTTCTTTGTGCCTTGTGTCTTTATTTATCTCCGTCCATCCACTACTTTCCCACTGGATAAGGTGGTGTCTGTGTTCTACACCACCATCGCTCCCATGTTAAACCCACTCATCTATACTCTGAGGAACCAGGATGTCAAGAACGCTATGAAGCGACAATGGAGTCGCAAGTTCTCCTTGAAGGAAAAGCAGAAGGGATAGTTTGTTAGAATTGCAAAATCAGAGAACTAGCTGATACCTTCATTGGTCCCTAACTTATTAATAATTTTAAGGAATAGTCCCTAAAATTCAACTATCTTTTACTTTTCATCTAACAGGGAATAATTTGACACTATTTTAGGTGGTTAAATTTAAACCTTTCCATACTGACAAAGTTTATCTTCTCTTTCTTCTAGAGTGGAAGAGTAAACATGCCTACTTATTATTTCATTTAACTGCTTTAGATCCCTTCTATTCACATCAGACTCTCTTAAGCCACAATTCAATCATTTGGAATGGGGTTATAAAAGAAAGATATCCCCAAGGAATCAGTTCATTTCTCCTAGAAAAACTAGTCCAATGTCTCAGGAGTTGCATTCTTGTTCTCTTCTTCTATCTTTCCTTCCTTCCTTCCTTCCTTCCTTTGTTTTATTCTTTCTTTCACAGTCTTTTACCATAAATATTCCAAAATCTACTAGGGAAACCTATTTTTAAAGAGATAATTATAATACAATATGACAAATGCAGACACAGAAAGATATACTGCATACAATGAAGGGGGTTAGTGTAAATAGACAAATTGCCCAAAGGATGGTTTCTGTACAGGAAAAAAAAAAAGAGAGAGAGAGAGAGAAAGAGCATTTTACATATTTTGAAGTGGAAAGCAATTTATTTTAACAACCCTCTTGCAGAATTTGAATACTGTCCTCCTGCCCTCAGTACTATGATAGTATTATTACTCAATGCAATCTTACTTTTTCTTTTGCTCTGGATTAACTAAAACAACTAAAATAAATTGACATTTGAACTATTGAAATGACTAAGGAGATGCAGTTCTGTTACAAATTTTTAGTTAAACTTATTTTCAGTTCTTTAAAAGGACAAAATGGAATAAGCTCATTTTCTTTGGTGCTGTTCTTAGTAAAGTTAGAGAATAGCTGGGCATTCTCAATATTTTGGAAAAGGTATTTTTCTTCTTAGGAACTTCTTTGGATCTTGTCTCATGACTCATATCTTTCAAATAATGCCTTGATTATTTTTATCCAACATTATTTTCTGTATGCCTTAAGCAATCCTGTATCTAATTAAAAAAATCACTTGTTTTTTCTGTTGTTTTTAAAAATGGATTCTTATCTCATTTCCACAACTTATGAAGGATGTAAGTAATGTGTATGACTTCTTTTCTACTTGCCATGTATAGCACAGAGATGGTTGTGTAGTATATACTTGTCAGAATTAGTTGGTTGTCATCCCAATATCCTTTGTTTCTTTTTTTTCCTTAGTAACAAAGACCTGATATTATTTATGATGGCACAGCTAAAATATTGCATTGACCTCTCTCAAGCTTTTTAAACCTACAATTCAATAATTAAGAATGGTGTTATTAGAGAAAGATATCACCGTTGCAGCTGGGTGTGGACAATATGATGTTAACAGTAGCTGGTAGGTAGGACTTTTGAAAACTCTTCAAAATCATTTCTCTACTCTTCAACCCTTCTGAACATGATCACCATTAACATTTGATTGCATTTCCTTATAGTTACTCTTCATATTACTTTTCTTCTGTAAAAAGGGTCATTCTATCCTTTTTTTTAAACCTGATTTTTTAAGGTAAACAATAAACACACTGAAATTATATTTAAAATGGCAGGCTACATTAGTTTTCCTTTTCCCTCCTAAGATCTAAGCAGCATAGTAATAATAATAGCAACAACAAAGATAAAAAATGTTTAGACCTCCAAAAACGAAGAAAACTGGACAGAAGTTTGCGGCAGACAAGAGATTCCAACAAAAATTTGGAAGAGAGAAGACAAAGGAGTAGTAACTGAATTAGCAGGGTCGAGAAGGCTAACTCTGAAGTACCAACAGAGAAGAATATCAAGGAGAAGAGCACAGATCTGTCTCTTGGAATCCCTGAGATGTTTGGGATGCCAGGACACCAGGTCAGGGGGATGATGAGGTTCAGCACTAGTAATAGCGATTAAGAAAAAGGAACTGTTCAATCTCCAATCCTGTCTTTCCCCACCTCATTTCCACATGCTAACAGAGACATGAGCTTCACAAACAATATTGGCATCTTTGCTTAAGAAGCTGAATGGTAATAGAGAAAAGTCACATTCTGATCTTGGAGATTACAAATGGAATTGCTGCCTCTCTACTGGAACCTTGCCCAGAAGCCTACCAATTAGTAAGCTCTGCCCTATTGTTCCAGAGCTTAAGAGATCAATTTTTT